GCAGGATTTGTCCCAGTTGATCGGCTGTGCTGTGGGATTCGGGAAACAGCTCGAACCTCTCTAGCTTCTGAGGCAAGGCTGTTAAAGTCTGGACTTACTCTCTCTCCTTCCCTGTGTGTAATTCCAGTCCTGGCAGCGCTTGGGTGAGAAGTTGGCAGCAGGCCCGCATCCTGTGTGCTTCGCCTTTCAGACACTCTCCTCGCTCGGTCCTGTGCTCACCGAGAAGCGAGTGCTTCGTTGTGCTTTGAGCTTTATGTACTGAGAGTGGAGAAGGCTGAAAGAAAGGTTCCAGAAGGGGCAGTAAGGGTCCTACGAACAATGGGAGAGCCTTAGGAGAATGCCAAATTATGTCGCCCTCCCTCTGCTTTTTCTGCACAGCTAGAGAGAAAGCAACAGGAGCTAGTTGGGAAAAAAAAATGCATAATTTCACATGAAGACAGAGGGGCTAGTGTTTCTCCACTTGTTAGGTTCTGAGGCAGCCATTCATTCTGATGGTAGAGGCCAAGGTAGGTAGGAATTCTGAGTGGGGACCTGGAGTTTCTGGGCTCACGTCTCATCAGGAAGGAAGGAGCCCACTGGGAGTTGATTCCCACTGTTTGGAAACAAGATTAGGACCAATGGTGGAAGAGAAGAGGGACAGGTGGGTGAGCACAGGGACTAGTTGGAAGGAAGATGACACCCTTGATTCTTTGGGGCCGAGGACCTGGGCCTCGTAGGAACTCTGAAGCCCAGCAGTGCTTGGGCTTGTTAGCTCTTTTGTAGCTTGGAATTCTGTTAAGCCTGGGATTTTGGGTCCAGTGTTTCTGCATGCAAAGACGAGGGCAAAGGCACTGCTGGTGCCCCATGAATAATCCCTTACTGTACTCAACCTCTTTGGCTCGAGGTTGAACTGTGTTGCATAACTTGGTGGAGCTCACGTCTACGGTCTGCAAAAGGGTGAACTGACAAACTGCTAGCTTTCCTCCGAGCGCGCGCTGCAGCTCTGCCTTCCCTCAGGTTTTCCAGGCGTGTCAGATGCTCGGCACTGCGCCTGGGTGGGAAGGAGCTGGATCCCCATGACGTTTTTTGAGTACAGAGATAATTATTTGGGGTAGCTGCTCTGATGATAGCTCACATGGAGGCTGAGCCTGCTGCGCGGAGCTCTCTAATCACGGTTGCCTGTAATGATGATTACCGAAACTCGGGAATTATAACAATAGATTTTGCAAAGTTAGAGCATAATTGCTCCCCCATTCCACATGTGAGCATAGATTAAGCAACTTTGATCTTTCAGGCAGACTTTTGTTACTCAACTTTTGAAATGGCAAAATTCAGAGGCCTGGCTCTGTGCCACCCGCCCACCCCGCCCCCACGTACCTTTTTAATCAGTCAGGCCCAGATCTGTTAAAGCCATCCACCTGTCGAAGATGCAAGGGCTGAGGCTGGGAGAAGTGGCCAGAGCACACACCTGCGGCACGCGGAGCCCAGCTCTGCCCTCTTGACGCCGAGGCAGACCTTCAGCCTCGCCAGAAGCGACCTCGTCCATTGGCAGCACCTACCCGGGTGAATGGTTACACTAGGAACAAATGTAAAGCACCTGAGGATGCCGGAACTCAGGGGCAGCCAGTAAAAACTACACCATGTCATCGCCACCATCTTTATCTTCATCAATTCTGTTATAAATTTCCAGGCTCCGAGGTCTTCAGAACCCTCCTGAGCCTCTGGATTTTGTAGCCTTCGTTTGATATGCAAGTCTGTTTGGAGATCAGGGCTATTTGGAGTTAGCGGCATTTTCACTAAACTTGGCACAGAGGTTTGCAAGGTATTAGTATGAAAGAGGAAAAAAGAAACAGGCCTCCCCAGAGTGAGCCCCCGGGCTGGCACCAGTTAGCCCGGATGCAGCCTGACACCACACTCTGCTGAAAGGGCTTGGCACCAAGTGCCTCTGAATGCAGGAGGGCTGCAGTCCCCCAGGATTTGGCATTTTTGAAGGTTCTCTGGCAGTTTAGAAAAGGTGGTTCAAGGACTCGATTCCTTCCCGCCGTGCCAACCCAGACATTGCTGCTGGTATGTGCAGATTCAGTGCGTTTAACTACACAGTAAACTGCTTTGGGATGGCCTAGCCCTATGGGCAGCAGCCAGGAGAGAAGGCCTCACTTTTTCTGGGAGGAAAGGGATGGCCACAAACCCTCTGGCCCTCTCAGTGTCTGGGCCCAAGTGTTTCTCCACCCTCACCCACCACCACCGAGCATCTGCAGCCATCCCCAGTCCGGCACTGGTGTGGTGAGCAGCGCTGGCGCCTGCTCTGTGCCAACTCATGCAGGAGCCCACCAGAATGGTCAGTGGGGCGGCTGGGCCCTCCACAGCCCTCTGGTGAACTAGCTGCCTCGCTGTCCCCATCGCCACCAAGCAGGAAGCCCTCCAGCTGAGCCCCGCCAGGGCCAGCTCGCGTCTGGCTGGTGGCTTTTCTGTCTGTGCATCAGCCTTGTCTCATATGCTTTGCATATGTGAGTGGGTGGAGGCCCCAGAGACTGCTGGCTGGCAGATATAATTTTTCTGTAAACCCCCACCGAAGCCCTTGACAGGACTTTGGGTTAAGAGTGTCTCCTGAAATGCTGGCCAATGCTTCCTTCAAAAACTGAAATGAAATTCACAGAACATAAAATTAACCTTTCTCTTTCCCTCCTATGGTGCTAAGGATTGAACCCAGGGCCTTCCTGTGTATGCAAGTGCTCTACCACACACTGTACCCCATCCCTAACTTAAATGGTTTTTTTTTTTTTTTTGCGGAACTGGGGATTTGAACTCAGACCCCGCACTTGCCAGGCAAGCGCTTATTCTACTGCGCCATCTCCCCGGCCCCTTAAATCATTTTAGAATGAACGATTCGGTGGCATCCAGTTCAGTTGGGATGTACAGCCACCACTGCTGCCCAAATGCGTCCACCCCAAAGCACCCTGTGCCCCTTGTACAAGTATTTTAGAGCCTCATCCCAGTGGCTTACACTGCAGAGCTTATTGTTCCGATACTGTAGGCCCGAGGACTGAGACGGGCTTGGTCCCATCTGTGTCAGGCTTGGTCCTGGTGCTGTCTTTCTGCCTCATCTTCTAGGCCTGTCTCTGTGTCCCGTTTTCTCCCGTGTGTAGACACCAGGCACAATGGATTGGGGCCCATCCTAAGGACCTCACTGTAACTTGGTTATCTCTGTAAAGGTCCCAATTCCAAGTAATAACTAACAAATAAAGACCAATCCCTGATGGGGCAGTGGATCAGGACTTCACCGTGAGAACTCTGAGGGACACACACTGGCCTGTAACGCCCATTAAGCAGTTTCAGTAGATTAGTGATACTCCATTCCTTTTCATGGGTGAATAATATTCAATCACATGTAAACATTTGTTTTTGGAACAGCAAGTTACCAAACACCTGCCAGTGCAGTCTCCGTGGTGGCTGAGTGGCGGTTCCCCGCACCAGGTTTGCGTGCCACATGGAGCAGCGCCGATCTCACAGGTCTTGCGGCGCCCACGCATCCAGTCGATGACCTTGCTCTTACTGTCATCTTTTAAAGACAGTCTTTGTGAAGAAAAGCGAAAGCAACACGGGACTAAGGGGAAGGCAGGTCAAGTTTCTGACCCGATGATCATTTTAAAATGGATTTTATCCTCTTTCCTCTTCCGGCTCTTGTCCTCAGCACTCCTCTTCCCCCTCACCCCCCTCACCCCAAGTGGACAAATACACTCACATTCAACACGATTTAAGATACAGGAGGAAAGGCATGGCCCAGATAGGACACGCAGCCCTTTGAGAAGACCGGGCGGCTCCGTTGGTTCCCATCGTCATGGTTACTGGGCCGGTTGCTGATGCAGAGCAGAGTGTGGGAACTTCACACTTCCTTCCCAATCTGCCTCGGCATGCACGAGGGACCTCTGGGCCAAGGTTCCCACAGCTCTGCTCTGACAGCGCTGCCGCCATTACGCTGCATGCGCCTCTTTAATTTAAAATCTCTTTCTCCCTCTTGCACGCATGGACAGGCGACCTGCATTCCTGCTGGCTCAGGCCTCTGGGGGCCAATCAGGACCCCTCTCCTCCACCCCAGAGGCCCCTGTGGTAACGACATGGTGTCTCTGTTGAGTGACACCGAATCTGCAGGAGGGACCTCAGCAGGGTCGCAGCATCCTGCCTCCTGACCCTGAGCAGACGTGTCCCTCTTGCAAAAGTTATTTTATTTCCGCCTGTCTTCTTCCCCTCCATCAAATTAGTTCTGTCACTTGAAAGTCCCCTGGGGAAAGAAATGCATTCTGGCCCCAGGATTTTCAGACAGGCACGAAGGAGAGTGAAACAGCACAGTTGTGAAGATAGGACAGAAAATGTTCCTAGTGTTTGTTGCTCCGTTTTGTGATTCTAGGGTAACACATGGGTTCCAGGAGTCGCCTGGCAGGCTGCATGCCCAGAAAGGAACGGGGTAAATGTAGCTGGAGATGCTGAAGATGCCTTCTGCGTGGCGCGGCTCCAGCCAGCCGTCTCTCGGCCTTGGCTGCACTCAGAACCAGCGTGGAGAGCTTTTCAGAGCTCCCAAGGGAGCCAGCGTCCAGCCACCTGGGGCAAGAGGCCTCCAGGAGAGTTGGGCGCTCCGGAAAGGGGGGTCCAAGAGACAGGTGACGCTGAGTGTATGGTGCCCTGCAGTGCTGCTGAGTGGGCAGAAAGCAGAAACAGAAATAACACACCCGAGGCTGCCCGTGACCAGGCCACATGGGGTGTCGGCGCCACTGACCTTGCAGAACCAGAACGAAAGGGAGATGCACGTGTCCCTTTGTCTACTGCCGCCCTGGGGCTGGTCTGTGGCTCCCAAGGGCCACAGCATGACCCAGCACGGTGCCACTTCCGCCCTCCTCCCTAGGCCCAAGTGGTGGCCTCCTTTTCTCCGTAGCATGTGACGAGTTGCTCCGTGCACTGTGGGCGGCCGTTTGTCAGAGTCAGGCTAAGGGCTGACCACTCTGTCTCCTTCTCTTCACACCTTGCAGTACAAAATCGGACAGCTGTACATGATCAGCAAGCACAGCCACGAGCAGAGCGACCGTGGAGAAGGGGTGGAGGTCGTCCAGAATGAGCCCTTCGAGGACCCTCACCACGGCAACGGGCAGTTCACCGAGAAGAGGGTGTATCTCAACAGGTAGGTCGCGGCAGCCCAGAATGCACCAGGAACTCCCACCCCGGGACCTGGGCACCCTTGAGGTAAAAGCTGGGGGTGGGGGACAGGGTCTGAGAAAGAAGGGACCTTGGAAAGCTGTGGGTGTGCCCTCTGCACCCACCAATCCCATTGCTTCCTGAAATGGAGTCCACTGTGCCTGCCCCCCGGCATTCTGAGAAGCAGGCCTCAACATCATCCTCATCTGGACGTGGTTTTGTTTTGTTTTTAGACAAGGTCTGTTTAGTTCAGGCTGGCCTCAAACTCATAAAGATCTCCCTGCCTCAGCCTCCCAGGACTAGGATTATAGGCTTGTGCCACCAAGCCTACCTTCATCAGAAAGTTTTTTGTCTTCCCTTTCCTTTCCTGGCCCTTTCATGACACTAGGTGAAATCTGATCTTCAGAGAGGAAGGCTTTGTCTTTTCTCCTTGTTCAGTGCTAGCCGTGGGAGCAAGGGCTGTGCTCACAAGGGGTAGGAAGGTGCTGAAAGGGCAGTGCCTTTGGGTCTCGATTTACTAGACCAGTTGGATTCTTTCAAAAGGAATTGACAGGAACTGGGGAGATGGCTCAGTGGAGTAAGCGCTTCCCTGGCAAGCGCAAGGGCCTGAGTCCGCCAAAAAAAAAAAAAAGGAAATGACAGAATGCACAGTGACCTGTGATCAGAGGGGGGATGTGCAGGTTCTAAGGTGGCTTCTGTCCCTCTAGTGAGCCCGTCCTGACTAGGGTAGGGGTTGTTACTCTCCACTTGAAGGATAAAGCATCATGCGTTATGAGTCAGAACTGACCAAGACTGCCATTCCTGCAACTCGGGATTCCTCTCCATCCCTTGCTGTTTTCCCATCACCGGTGGCACGACTGATTATTGGAGCCTGCCTCACCCTCCTGCCCTCTCCCCTGCTCTCGCGTGTCTTCTTCCACTCAGTTATTTGTTGGACGAGAATAGTTTTAGTGAGATAACACATGGAACGTATTTTATTGCCACTGTCTTTCAGCAAATCGTGTTGCCTTAGCCTTTCTAGAAATGCTTTAACCACCACGTGGCTTCCCCGATTGGCCCGCTTATGATTACTCGCAAGCACTTCCAGCACGCTAGCTGCGCAGTGCCCGCCCGTTTGTCCACTAACCCCGTGAACACCTGCGTGGCCAGATGCTTCTCAGTGAGCCGTAGATGGATCCCACCACTCTCACGCTGGTTCACCGTGCAGCTGGCTGACGCAGACCATTCTGCCGGATGGGAGACGCCGGGTCCTGTCCACCAGGCTGGACAGCAGTTCTCCAGGCTGGTGTCCTGACAGCAAAAGCCTTAGAATGATGAAAACCAATGTGCTTTCATCTGCCCAGGCGTGCGGGGGAATTCCTGAGTCATGATGAAATGCAAATGGGATCGGTCACATTCATCTATCAGAAGTGATGAATTCCCAGGATTTGGAACCCGTACTGCCTGCGGCCAGCTACAGAACTGCAGGAATCGCTGGGCTCTGGGTCTGGCCCGGGGCGGGCTTCCTCCCAGAGGCAGTTTCTCTAGGCTGCTCCGGTATTCTTAGTGCGGAGGGTGTGAAGCAAATATCGAGCAGGTTTCCCCTCGGGGATCACCTTTGTTGGGCTAGAAGTGAGGCAGATCGGGGAAAATAGAACTATGGAAAATTCCATTGCTTGGCAGCAGATTGTTGTCTCTTAACTGACTGCCTGGGAAATACTCCTTGTACACCCAAATCAAGAAGAATTATAGAAACTTTATAACCTTTGCTGAAGCCAAATAGAAAGTGTCCAGCTGTCTTTGTCCTGTCTCTATCAAAATGTATGATGTTTATTTTAAAGGAGAGTCATAAACACAAGCAAGAGGGAAATTTGTTATAAATAGAATATGTGGGCTTCCAGAAATAGTAACTAAAGAGATTAATGCGGACCCTCCCCCACTTCCTATGACAAACACAGGATGGAATAAAACAATATAAAGCTGAGCTAAAAACAAAGACAGAGGAAATCCTCAGGTGCTGGGGACAGAGAGGACTCCAACCAGGGTTAAAAGCGGGACAGAGGGCACTAAGAAAGCCAGGGAACCTCAGAACCTGGGAAGGTTCTGGCATATGGGGGTGGAGGTGTCGGGTCCATAACGCAGTAGGAAACGTGGCCTCGGGCCCTCATAAATAGGGAGTCAGAACTGAGAACCAGGCCAAGAAGGGTCTTGGAAGATCAAAGGCTGAGAGAAGTTACTGTCTAGACACCCACGCTGGAAGAACTACTGAAGGATTTACCAGGAGAAGGAAGAGGACTATTTATGTTTTAAATGTATTTGGTTGTTGAATGGTCTCACTATGCAGTTCAGACTCATGGTGGTCCCCTGCTTTCAGCTTCCCCAGCACTGGGATTATAGGTGTGCGCCCCTATGCTCGGACTCTGGCTGGCTCAGCACACCCTGGGGGCTGGCACAGCATGTGGTGCTGGGGATTGAGCAGCCTTCCCTGCGCCTGCCTAAGCTTGACAAAGCAGGTGCTTTAGTCCGCTGAGCTATCTCACCAGCCCTGCACCTATTTATTTATACAAATGAATTGATAAGCATTTGGGCAAGTCCGAATGAACATAGAATGTTTTAGAACACTAATAATGGCTTATTGAGGGTATATTTATAAAATCTAAACAGTAACTCAGAAGAGGGTAAGGTAGTAATTACAGCAAAACAAAAGCCCACTAAGACGCTACTTAGGAATTGGAGAGCTAGTTTATTGTCTTAGACTCCTTAAGCAAATATGTGTATTTAAAATGTTTAGGTAACAACCCCTCCAGCACACGCACTGTGGTTTGAACCCAGGGCCTTCGCACTCAGCTCCACCCAAAGCCATTTCGTCATCTTCATTTCGAGCTAGGGTCTCCCTACAATACCCCGGCCGGCCTTGAACATGTGCTCCTCCCTCTGTAGCCTTCCAGACGGCTGGGATTGTCAGCTCATGCTGCCTTTGGTTTGACAAAACTAAAAGTAACTTCTGCAGGAATATTAAAGCAATAAATCACCTCTAAAAGAAAACACGATCAATCCATAGAAGGCACAGACATAAAAAGAGAAGCCAGCTGGGGCTGTCGCTCTTGGCAGCCTGTTTGCTTTACACACAGAAGGCCTTGGGTTCAACCACCAGTTCCACAAAGAATAAAGAATGGAAAACATGGGTACAGCAACATAAATCAGAAGGTCAGGTACTCACATCCCCAGTCACCATGTGACCTAGTTCTGGCTCATAAGACACAAGATTTCCCTCCCTGATAAAAAATGGAAGTCGTTCAGGAGCTGTCTTTCGTAGTCAAGAGGGCATGTTGTGCTTATAAGAAAGCGTTATGAGGAAAATAACTCCCAACCTGTTGGAGGTCAGATGTGCCGAGTTCCTGGTCTCCAGCAACCAGGAACAAAGTCGTGAACCAAGGGAGGAAGTTGGGAGAGTTTTATTGGAAATAAGAAGAATAGCTCCTAGATTTCGGGAGCGGGCCTGAGTGGGTAGCCACTGAGACCTTTGTCAAAAGTATTTTATACAGGGCCCAACATGGTACAACACGGGCCAAACTGCAATCAGCCTGCAGGATTCCAAGCGTAGCAGCTTAGCTCATATTGACCCAGTAGGGAAGCGAGTTGCATAGCAAGAGTCACTGGGAGGAACAAGGGCTTTCCTGGAGAGGGACGGGAGCGCCAGCCCAGGTGCTCTGCCCCTGCCTGCGTGTGATGTTTGAGCCCGCCGGCCCAGGGGATGCTAACCACCGTGCCATCTCAAGCTGTTGTTGCTCTCCAGGGAGCTGACAACCCCGGCCTCTGCGTGTCCATCTGAGGCCTGGCTCTCTCTAGATTCGCCTCTAGCCACCATTTTGAAGTCTTCATCTGTTGCGTTGACTCCCCCAAGGGCCTGATCACTCTCTGACTGCCTGACAACTTCCGTCCAACTTAGCTGTCCAGAAGAAAAGGAAGAGCACCCCGAATTCCTGCAGCCTTGCTTCCCCATTGAGCGATGCCAAGGCCAAAAGATACCCACTTCACAGTGAGGATCAGTCGTTTACATTATTCCCAGCCGTGTTTTATTCATGGGATTTGAAGAAGCCAACTGTCAGAAAGGAAAGTACAAGGAAAAGAAAGGGCAGAGTGGAGGGCAAATTAAGAGACAGGGAGGAGCCGGAGAGATGGCCCAGCAGTCTAAAGCACCTGCTTAGGCAAGCAGAGGCAGGCGCAGGGGATCACGGTCAGATCCCTGGCTTCGCATGCTGCGCCGGCTCTGCCCTCCAGGTGGGCTGAGCCAGCTAAAAACTGTGCAGTGATGGTATGACAAGAAAATCTAGGGGCTCAGGGTGTAGCTCAGTAGCACAGCACCTGCCTGGCAAGGGCCAGGGCCTGAGTATGATTCTCGGTACGAAATAAATAAGTAAATAGAAATTTATAAATCAATCTACTAAAGCATAGACATGGAACTACTATGTAAGACATTAGCAAACCAAATACCTCAGAATATTGATAAGGAAAAATCATGTCCCAATTAGATATGTCCCTAAAATCCATTACATTAACTTTTTAAAGTATGTGAATAACTAAAAAAGCTCAATACCAAACACATTAAAATGAAACCAACAAAAAGTCCAATTAAAAGGCCGGTGATATAGCTCAGTGGACTAAGCACCTGCTTAGGTAAGTGCAGGGGCCAGGGTTCGATTGCTCGCCAGCCCTGCCCCGAGGCACGCTGAGCCGGTGATGGAGTCCGGGCATGGTAGCGCACACCTGTAATCCCAGCACTAGGGAGGCAGAAATCAAGAGGATCACTATGAGTCCAAGCTGCGCAGTGAGATCCTGCACACACACCCAGACACGCACACGCATGTGCGCACGTGCACACACACACAAACACACACACACTTAACAAGCCCGATTAAGCCAGGCATAGTAGTGCACACCTATAATCCCAGCACTCAGGAGGCTGAGGCAGGAGGATTGCCATGACTTTGAGGCCAGCCTAAATTA